CAATAATATTATATTTATATAGATTAGACATTTTTTCCCTTTGTCTTGCATTTGTTCCTCAGTGGCTCAGCGTTAATTCTGAAGGCTTATAATACTAGCCCCCACCCCACCCCCATTAACACAGCGGTAAGTCTGGTGGCTTATAATATTAAAAACCGTGTTTTGTTTCCCAGCGGTGGACACAGCAGATAGTCCAATGTGGCTTTGCTATAAAACAAACAAACCGTAATATTCTCTAAATATAAAACAAATGAGCTACTATTTATTGTGTACTAAGAAGTGTTTTTTTTGTTTTTTTTTTTAAGAAGCCCCGGATTTTAGCATTATGATTCTGTAGACTTACCTCTCTCCCATCGGGGGACTAGAGGATATTAACTCGTGGCCATTACGTCGAACAAGATATTTATTGTCACAGTGATATTTAATGTAATAAGTATACACGATTACTACAACGCCATATGTCCAGAAAAATTCAGGTAGCGTAAAGCACACTTGAGAGTAAAAACATTGCATGAAGAGAAATAGTCATTATCCAGTGAAAGTGCGAGCTTGTCCGGTGACGGCATTCGATCCCACGCCCTAAACATCAGGCCATGCTAAGCCTTTATGACCTACGAACATGGATCGTTGTTTAAAACAAAACAATACCTGCTTCTTCCCTTTCATGCCAATCTCAAATCACCATTTCTCTCAGAGAAGCTACAACCCACAGAAATTTTCACTCAGATTCTTGGACAGATGGCAGGCTACAGCCATCTATTGGCAAAAAACCGGACACTATGTTCTTCGTGCCCACTTGAAGAAATATAACCTTGCAGACAAAACGTTGTGTACTTGCAGACAGGCAGACCAATCCAACACACATATTTCATAGCAACCCACTATACACAGTCCAAGGACTTCGGACCTGACCATAGGGAGGAAAACTACATATCAAGCTGTAGAGATCGGCAGATGACCTCTTAATTTGATTGCCAGTTCATGACCTCCATTGAACTGTAGATCTAACGGCCAGTCGAACGCTGAAGAAAGAAAAAAGAAAACTTTGTCTATTTTATGATGTGACAACATGGATCATTACTCACCAATACCCACGTCCCCCGATGGGTCAACAGTAAGCCAGCGGGCTTATAATGCAAAATTCCGAGATCCGATTACTCACGGTGAACAAAATGCACATAACCAATTGTGTAGCTTTGCACTCCTACTTCTTATTTGTCTGTCGAAAAATATATTTTGATTTTTAAAATGTCCAAGTATATTAACTCATTATTTACTACATAATGTTAAATAATAAGTTGGTCAACAGTATTTAACATCGAATTCATCCTAATACACCCTGTTTTTCGTTTTTGAAAACATAAGCTTGATTATGATAATTCCAACAAAAAAATGGTGCGAATATTGTTTTTATTCTTGTTTTCTTAGTTTTGTCAAGTGTAAATAACTAATATACTCAATCTTATCCAGTTCCTCATTTCAAATACCTTACCATTTGTTCTTCTATTTCTAAATATTTAAATTTACGGTTGCATACAAAATAAAGTAATTTTATGCATATAACAGTTTTAACAATACTTAATAATATGAAATTTTGAAATATTATAAACATTTTATTAATAGTCATGGTTATGATAAATTAATGAATTACGGGTGTCTTAAACCCTCTAAACAGAATGTTTTTCTCACCCTGACGAAAAGAATGCAAAAAAGGAAAAGCAGTCATAATGACTTCCTCGTTGGCTTCTTGATTGAGAGGAGCGCCCCCTGTTACCAGCTCTCTCATACTGGTGAGATCGTACTGTCGGACCTTAGGATCTTTAACAAGCCGGTAAATTACTGAAACGGCTACTAAAACAACAGAAACCTGTGGAGTAGGATAAACTGTTAGTTTTAGTATATCAAATCTCAGAAGCTTCTAGATGTAAAGATTTATTAAAAACTAAAATCTTTCTAATATTACTGAAAAAAAAAGACAAAAAATGATTCAGTGTACAGAGCTCAATATTTTCATAAATTGTACTGACATAAACTGTAATGTTTTTATATATTAAAAGTGATGCCGTTTACTGAAAAACTAATAGATTTTTGTAAGAACTCCAGTTTCTCAGTACCAGATTTAAAAATCACATGAATAAAGATATAGTCAAATCTTCACGTACAGCCCTACTGAAAGTAGTGTTCTTGTTGTGAGAAGATTGTTTTTTTTATTTAAAATTATGTTCCATTGTAAAGAAATGGTTGTTGTACATACCACAGTTATTTTTCTAAATGTCTGAATCTTGAATACCCAAAGTATGATTTTTTTATGGATTTTTGTTGTTGTACCGTTTAATAGATAGCGGAAGAGTTTGATTACATACATAGATACTGACATACATGCTACGTCCATTATATTAAGATTTCTAATGGTGATTTATTCTTATTTAGACCAAAACCGAAGTTAACAGATTAGTGAAAACTAACTTGATTTGATGAAAATCCCACTCTACATCATTCCAAGAAACAGCTTAAAAACATATTTCTAAATCTTCTATGGAAAGTCTATTATAGCTAGTATTCCAAAAATGTTCTACAGATATCTGGTTTATTTGTTTCAACATTATTCCATATCGAAAACTGGAACCATTATTGCCTGAAACGTACTTGTATGAATAGGAGCCATTACTCCAAGAATGTTGACTGTAAATACTGTAACTTTCACCGCATGAAATTTCATTATAAGAATAAGAACTATTGCTCAAAAACCTAATGTACAAGACCTGCAGACATTATTGCATAAATGTTAAATATAAGAATTAGGGTCACCGCTCTGAGAATCATTATTATAAGGACTGGAACATACAATGGGTTAAAGTTAATTATTAGAATAAAAGCCACCTCTCTAAGAATATTTATTATAAGGACTGGAAAATACAATGGGTTAAGGTTAATTATTAGAATAAAAGCCATCACTCTGATAATCTTTGTTATTAGGACTGGGACATACAATGGGTTAAGATTAGTTATTAGAATAAAAGCCATCACTCTGAGAACCTTTACTATAAGGATTGTAACTCTCAATGAGTTAAGGTTAATTATTAGAGTAAAAGCCACCACTCTGAGAACCTTTACTGTAAGGACTGGAACTCTCAGTGAGTTAAGGTTAATTGTTATAGTAAAAGCCACCACTCTGAGAACCTTTACTGTAAGGATTGGAACTCTCAATGAGTTAAAGTTAATTGTTAGAGTGAAAGCCACCACTCTGAGAACTTTTACTGTTGTAAGGATTGGAACTCTCAGTGAGTTAAGATTAATTGTTATAGTAAAAGCCACCACTCTGAGAACTTTTACTGTAAGGATTGGAACTCTCAGTGCGTTAAGGTTAATTGTTATAGTAAAAGCCACCACTCTGAGAATCTTTACTGTAAGGATTGGAACTCTCAGTGAGTTAAGGTTAATTGTTATAGTAAAAGCCACCACTCTGAGAACTTTTACTGTAAGGATTGGAACTCTCGATGAATTAAAGTTAATTGTTAGAGTAAAAGCCACCACTCTGAGAACCTTTACTGTAAGGATTGGAACTCTCAGTGAGTTAAGGTTAATTGTTAGAGTAAAAGCCACCACTCTGAGAACTTTTACTGTAAGGATTGGAACTCTCAATGAATTAAAGTTAATTGTTAGAGTAAAAGCCACCACTCTGAGAACTTTTACTGTAAGGATTGGAACTCTCAATGAATTAAAGTTAATTGTTAGAGTAAAAGCCACCACTCTGAGAACTTTTACTGTAAGGATTGGAACTCTCAGTGAGTTAAGGTTAATCGTTAGAGTAAAATATTTTACTCTATTGGTATTGATTACCTGCTCTTTCATGAAACTTTACAGGAGAGATGTGACATATCACGAATTTTTTCAGAAAAAGTGGTGTCAAAATATATTATCTTAACTTAGTATAATTTATCTTCACCCAAATCACATGTGATTTACAATCTGTCTTATGGGTGTAGAGAAAATTATACACAGTGGTATTCGTGACTACTCACCTTATGTTTTTCTATGACTTCCAGGAACAAGTCTGACTCATAACATGGCACAACACTCATGGTTAATCCTTCAGCCATAGCTATATTTAGGATGAGGAAGCCACCAATGTGGCAAAATGGATACATCCCTAGAACAACATCTTCTGAAGAAAAGTTCCAAACAGTTGGGTGTCTATATAGTAAAAATATGTAGAATTTGAAAACAAAAGCATGTACAATTTCACTTAGAAGTATGTACATTTGCTTATGTAGCTGTAAGTTTAACGTAATGTGTTCATCTTGGTAAAAATATCGAATGTAAATAAATTGTTTTCTTAAACGATAGATGTGAATTATGATTATATTTTGTAATTCACTAACATTTTCATGTTAGCTTCTTGTTACATATATCTACCTAATAGGGATAGGAAAACATTGATTCCTGACGCTTTTATCAACCACGGTTTACTTTAACTATAAAAAGCAGTGCGATTTGAAAGAAATGACAAAAAAATTATTTTATCCAAATTACAACAGTTATCCAATAAAAATGTTTCATAACTTTAATATATATATTAGGTGTAAATTAAATTATTCTTAGGTCTACTTATATTTCGAAAGAATTTACTCAATTGTAACCACTCACGTCATGTTGACTATTGATGCAAGAAAACTAAAATGAGTATGGATAATAGCTTTGGGTAAACCAGTAGTTCCACTTGAAAATGGTAACACTAGCGGTGTTACTTTAGGGTCAATTTTAGGTGACCCGGTAAAGGCAGACCCATCGTCTTCTTCAACAAGTTCCATGAAGGATGGGCAACCTTCGGTTTTCTCTAACGTAAGTATCTCCTGCCCAAAAATATTTTTATTAAAGGGAGAAAAAAGTATTAATAAAATATGAAAGAAACTTGCGATGTCTAATTATTATAAATAAGTTTTAAAAAATTAATAAATAATCTTTATGTTGCATGAAAAGAACTTTAAAGCTATAAATAAATGAAGATTAACTAGAATTTTTGTAATTAAAACTAATTACGTAAGTATATACAGCAATATGTTTAGTTGCATCCAGTGGCTTTGGTTTATCACACTTATATATATTGTATATAACAGTAATCAAAACATATAAAAATATCCAAAATCATCAAAATAAAAAATGCGTAACTGAAAGTAAATTAGCATTCACCATAATAAATAAAGTAAATTAGCGCCATCTGGCATTTACTACCCTTCTTTGCACTGCAATCATGAGCGATATACTTCCAAGGTGTTTAAAGCACGCTGATAAACTGAACTGTCTTTGTCACACCAATCACCATAGACGACACATTTAATCAGTACTCGGACAGTCACTGCAGTCAACGATGTGCGTCGATGGCTATATCTCGTGTAAATAACATTTTGTGTCACTGCTTTTTCAAAACTGTAGTAATTTTATATATATGTGCTACATTTGGGTAAGATTCAAATATTTTTATACTGACTAGACCAGTATTTTTTTATTCTCCAAAGGCTGGTTTACCGCTGGTAAACGGAGTAACACGGAAAATACGCCACTAGTTGCATCGTTATGACATCATTAGTAATTTATGTTATCGGACGGTCAATTCAACAATCTTTTAGAATATTTGTTCATTGCAGTAATGTCTTGATTGCTTTATCAAAACAAAGTACCCTATTTAATAAGTTTCTGTTCAGGAATACTGAACTCAAGTTTTTAGTTTCTTTTTTCCAAGAAACGATAATAAACAGAGGAAACGTAATATACTACAGAAGCAAACAACCCGACGATGGTTGGATAGTGAAATCAGAGTATGAGTTATTTATAGGGACGTACACAGCTTTGTGGGCTCAAGCCACTGTCTTTCGGCCCTTATGCTCTAAAAAGTTTTTTTCTTGGTTATAAAAATTTTGACCACAACTACTTAAAAGACCCGCTTTGTTTGTTTGTCTTTAGAGTGAAGTCACATTAAGCTATCTTCTGTATCCACCACGGTATGTCTAGCCCTAGTGTTTGACGTTGTAGTTCCGTAGTCTTACCGCTGTCCCACCGGGGGACAAAAAATACGTCTGATTCCACACCTTGTTTATTGCGAGTTATTAAGGAAAAATATTCCAGCTTTAAAATGAATGGCACACAGGAACTTGCAGGTATTCACAGTAAAATAAAAAGTGGCATGCTGTTAAATGTGAATACTCAATAATTCACTGTTTGGTTTTAGATTTTAAAAGGATTTATAAAACCGATCGAGCTGGAATAAAAGGGGATATGTTTGCTTCTTATGAATTTTAATCCATGTGTACCAAACCCTCTAAAAATTTTTTATCTTACGGTGGTTGAAAAGTGCTTTTTTTGTAAGTGAACCCCTGCCCTTTTAATGTTCTCTGCATGTTACTGGCTAGTTAGATTAATCTATTTATAAAACGATCTTGAGAATGAGAGATGGATAGTAAGATAAGTGCGAGTGTTATTTACAAAATGTAGGAACAAAAAAGAAATTGACAGAAGGACAGTGTGATAAACAGTTAAAAACAAACAATCCAATGACAGCTGGCGATTGAAGTACACGTATGCTGTTTGAAGTAATTTATTCAGAAACTAATGTTGAGATAAAAAGTGGATAAGAAGTACTGGTTACAATACTGTTACGACAGCGGAAGTCACGCGACGCTGAGAGCATGCGCGCTGAAGTTTCTAGAAGCATCATGACTTATCGAGAACCCGCGAATGATCATGAATTTCCTAGTGCGTTCGGGACGCCCCCTTTTTTAGTATATAAGCCTGGCAGATAAAGCCTGCGGGAAGATAGATTGAAGAGACAGATAATTGAGTCAAGCGAATAGTAGGCACCGTAAGTAAAGTGTGTGAATCACTGTGATTTATAGCGTGTGTTATAAAGGTTGTTAAGTTTAAAGTGACTGTGGAAATTTTGTGTATTACAAAGTTGTATCGAGAAAGAATAAACTAGTTTTAGTTAAGAAAGGACTTGTATCGCTGAAGTTCCTCGGAAAGAATTTATACCGAAAATTAAGGAAATTATCAAACGAGCAGATACGTAACAATACTTTAGTGATGCCACTTGATGCTGACAAAACTCCATCAAGAAGTATAAACGTGTGAGAGTAATAAAGCAAGATTTCTGGGCTTTCTTCCATGCGTATTGAGATAGGTTTAGTTTGTTTGTTTTCAATTTTGTGTAAGGCTAGTCGAGGACTATCTGGGTAAAACTAGTCGAGAACTATCTTGGTAAGGCTAGTCGAGGACTGTCTGAGCAAAATTAGTTGAGGACTATCTGGGTAAAGCTAGTCGTCTCTAATTTAGCAGTAATAGACTAGAGAGAAAAGGCAGCTAGTCAACACCATCCACCGCCAATTCTTGGGCCACTCATTTGCCAACGAAAAGTGAAAATGACCATGACATTATAACGTCTCCACCGCTGAAAGGGCAAACATGTTCAGTGATGAGATTCAAACTCATAACCTACAGAATGCGAGTCAAGCGCCCTAACCACCCGGTCATGTCAGGACGAGCGATCCGAAGTTAATAAGTATATAACAAATTCTCATATAAATGTAATGGCCAGGTGGTTAAAGCACTCGACTCGCAATCTGAGGGTTGCGGGTTCGAATCCCCGTCACACCAAACATGCTCGCCCTTTCAGCCTTGGGGGCGTTATTATGTGACGATCAATCCCACTATTCGTTGGTAAAAGAGTAACCCAAGAGTTGGCGGTGGGTGGTGATGACTAGCTGCCTTCCCTCTAGTCTTACACTGCTAAATTAGAGACGGCTAGTGCAGATAGCCCTCGTGTAGCTTTGCGCGAAATCCATAACAAACAAACATATAAATGTTTGTAGTTTTCATAGTTTCACGCAACAAGTTTCTACCTGAAGTTTTGGGAGGTGTACGAATGCTTCTCTGGATTTCTCTAAATTCTTCTTCTCTACCAACAGATAAGTTGCGTCGGTCAATTCCAGTCTAAATCGAAGTTCCTCTTCATAAAAAATAAAATGTTCTTACATTACGTATGAAGAAAGAATCAAATATTGAAGTATCAAAATTAAACAAGAACTTCGTTACTGAAAAGAAATTGTCAACCCAAAGTTCGCGTATGTTTTAACACGTAACTCTAGGCTCTGTTATACACAGCGTGGTCACAAGTAAATAGACACCACCTTTTCAGAAAAAAATTACAATTTTCAGTCATATTCACA